TGTATGTGCAATTCATGGTTGTACGTGGGCTGGGATACTGCCAGGGCGCCCACACCTAGACAGGAGGACGATTAGGGTCCTCAACCAAAGCCTTTGGCTCAAAAGCCTAACCGCAAGGCAGCGGTGTTTGGCGGGAAATGCAAGTTGCCGGAGATGCTCTTAGCATATTTTATATTTAATGTTACATGCTATCTGTTCCGTTCCGTCCAACGTTTTTCGAGGCGCGAGAACAAAATAGTCTCCTTCTGAACTTGTGTTTTACGTTTTTTTTCATAGTATATCAAATATTTGCAGTCCTTGTATGGTTTTTAATATACATTACTAATAAATAGTCTAGTTAACTCATGTCCATGGAACGATTTGAATTTTCCGCACTCATTTCTGCGATACTTCTCGATAGAGCAAATATTCTCAAAGGTTGCAATGTATGATAGAGTAGCACATACTTCTCTTTGGGTATTGAATAAAACATGGGAAATAAAAGAGGCTAAACCTTACCTTTCTGTAACTGCAGACTCAGTTTGCTCCTTAGTTTGCTCCCATATGTCTGCGAAAAAAGAATCAAAAGACGAGTTCTGAGTGTCTGATGGTCTCACAGTCATTTGATTGCTGTCTTCTCGGTCAGTTCTTGTAATCTTTTATCATTATTTTCGTGATAAATATGTTTCCCACGGAGGAAAACAATCCTTGTGTTGGCGATCTACTTGAATGATGACAACTGACAAGCAAACAATTTACAGTGGTAGTGATACAAACAGAATTAGGCCGTGTATCGACGTAATATACTACTGAAAACATCATAAACGAGAGGTTTAACAGGGTTCCAGGTGAGACTTTCTGGAAACCAAATTTGTTTGAGAATGAAAGAATTAGGAAGTGATTGCCTCCAGAACCTTCTTTTCAGCGGCGTTAGTAGAATACAGTTGGTGCAGTCATTGGGAGATACACATCAATAAAGCGTAAAGACACCATAAAGCAAGGGAACAACAAAAGTTATTTCACAAAATGTCTCCCTCTTGCGTGCTATGTATTACGTGTTAGATGTAAAAATTTTCTTTCCCCCGGGCATGGCTCTATCATCGCCTACCAAAATACTGGACTTTCTCATTCTGCGCCAATCGTCTGTTTTGTGCATCAATGTTGCCGAATCGGTTCTGGAAGCGTCGGGCTGGTGTATATCTAAAAAACCATTGTCTTCAAAATTCCTGCTCCAAAACAAAACTCGTACTCAAATTCAGCATGCAAACTGATTGTCCTGGCTTATCTTTAAGTCTTTCGCTCTGAACGAGGCCCAACGGAATACTCTCGACTGCGTCGAGCGCAGGAATTCGTAACCATTGAAAACAGTCGAATTGATGGTGTTTACTGGTCTACCATGATTTGCCTAACCTCTGCGAACTTTGTTTCGCCGTCCGGTATTAGTCATTAATTGGTTAGACATACGCAGTCTCTTTTGCTTCATTTTAAAATTTCATATCTTAATGAGTGCATAGTAACTGGTGTTCATTGGTTAGAGACCCACTCGTGCACTCAGTGGCGTGAACTCATGCGAGCTGTTTACTTCCCTCGGCTACTACCTCTGGTGCGTAGCCATTCATCCTGACCTCGTCAAATCATCTGCGAACAAAGCTGTCAGCCATAACCAGTGACTAACAAATGCGGTTCTTACACCTAAAGATGACGATGATGTAGGTTCAAGGTAAGCAGTGTCTAGTTGTTATACAGTCGTTGATATTTAGCTCGTAAGTAAGGTTAGCTTAGCTATGACTAATAGGTCCATCTAAACAAGACACAAGGGAAAGACAGGGAAAGCACTCCTCAAAAATGTTTAGTACTAGTCGGGATACAAGTAAAGTAAACGGAGGGATCAAAAACAACCTCATGAGACATTTTAACCATTAAACTAAGTTATATTATTCTACGGGTAGCTAGTTGAAACTTTCTCTTCTCCGCATAAACTTCCCCACCTGTTTTCCTTATACATGGAACAGTTTTGGCACACGTACTCACCTGGGCAAATATTGTGTCACAGGCCGTGAGTAGTCCTGCAATGACAAAGACACCTGCTACGTTGAAAACGGACATCGCCAAACCAATGACCGCCAGTTCTGTCTTGCCCAAATGTCCACAGAATGCAATACTCACTGGACCAAAAGTACTTGTGAATAGAGAAGCAACTGCCTATAAAACGAACGGTAGTTTGCTGTCAGCGAATGTCTGACAAGTATTAAATCAAGACTTTCAACGCAATCACTACCTGCAAAGATCCAAAATAACAAAATATTTATGCCTGTTATCAGCAACGTGTGACAGAACAAATTTCTGACATTACAAAATCAATTTCCAATGTCACTCGTATTCATACTGGCATAGGAAATACAATAAGGTGTCTTACAACCGCGAGCAGTATAAGGTCCAATAACGAGACTGCCAGTTTAACGCCGTATACTACTGATGAAGCCCGTGAGAATCATTCATTCAGGCAGCCTAAAGTACCGTTCTTGCATCTGAAGTGGGGTTTATTCATTAATTAATGAACGGCTCTACGACGCTTGTTTATTGT